ATGTTACTTACAAGAACTAGTGTGACATACTGATTTGAGCATTGGTCCATGACCCTGGAGTTTGAATTCCCTGCTCAGACATGGCAGCTCACTGGGTGACCTCGGGCAAGTCATACTTTTTTAGTCTCCGAGAAAAGCAAAAGCAGTTCTGGACAAATCTTGCCTAGAAAACCCTGTGGTAGGTTCACATTAGGACCACCGCAAACTTGAAGGCACATACCAACAATAAATGTTGCTTGCAGTATTGACAGCAGAACTGTGAGGAAGACTGTACCCTGTACGCTTGACAAACAGATGTCAGATGCACTTTGTAACTCAAACATAGGTTATGGCTTGGAGATGACCCACATTTCTCCATCGTGTTTATCGGGTTACTTTTCAGGTCCTGTCTCTGCTTTTCAGTCAGGGAAAATATCACCAGCAGTTTTTAGAGTCTCAGCTGAAGCCATCTGGAAATTTACTCAGGCACCATCTACACTACCATATAATGCAATTGAACTGCATTATATGGCATTGTACACATATAATGCGGTTCTATGCAGTTATAAACTGCATTACATAGCAGTGTAGATGGGGCCTCTGTCTATGTGGCCAGCAAAACCACTCTAATCTGTTGTTTCAAAGGGCAGGTAGGAATGCCTATATAAGCATTTTGACTCCTGAGTAAGAACTTCTGCCTGCTTTTCCAAGTAATATATTGGGATGTCCGCCAACCTTATGAGAAAACCTGTACTGTATATTTTTGCTCTTGCATAATATTAACATGCAAGCAACAGGATGAGTAGTTTGGAACTATTAAGAAACAAGATAAGGAGAAATGAATCAAGGCAACAAATTGTAATTTCCACAGAGCCTCAGACAACATCAGACAACATCTTGTTGGTGGGCATGAGAAGAGAATCTGGAAGATTTGCCAGTTTGTCAGCAGAATCATAGTGAGGACATCTGCCCTTGCGCTTTGCTACTTGGCTGCTGAATACGCATGCCCAATGTGGAATCAATCTCACCATGTTAAAACAGTGGCTGTGGTTCTTAATGAGACAAGCCACATCATCACATCTATGCCCTACACCACTAGAGAAATTACAGTGTTTAGCCAGTATTGCACCATCTGACATCCATGGAAAGTAGTAGATGGTGTGACCAAGGCAGTGACATCTCCGGATCATCTATTTCCCACATCCATGGGAAAGTAGCTGATGCTGCAACCAAAGCAGTGACATCTCCAGACCATCCTCTGTTCAGCAATCAACCAGCACACCAATGTATTAAATCAAGGAAAAGCTTCCTAAGATCTCCAGAGAAACTCACAGGGACACTTCAGCAAGCGAGAGTCCAAAAGTGGCAGGCTAAATCCTGAACCTCAATCAGTGGCTGAGACCAGATGAGAAACTCCCTCCTGAGCACACGGAAGACCAGGAAAGTCTTCTGGCCTTCAAGTCGGAAGGTGGTGAATAGACTGTGCTCTGGCACCATGAGATGCAGAGCCAAACTTAAGAAATAGAGCTACAAAATGGAATCCACAACATGCGAGTGTGGAGAAGAACAAACCACAGACCACATAATACAAAGGGGTCTGAGCCCTGCCACATGCACAATGTCACACAGTGACACCAGAGGCACTTGAAGCCATCTTCTGGTCAAAGTAAATTTAGCATAATGCCAAGTTTTTAACTTTGTTTATGGTTTTTTAAATACATTATAACTACATCCCCGGTTCGCTTTTGACATGATAAATAAATAAATAAGCAGAAGTATGGAGACAAGATAAAGAGTGCACCCCAAGGTTAGGGTTTTCTTTCTAAATGGCTCCCAAAGCAACAGTAAAGTGTTCAACAGGATTGTGATCAGGGAACGCTGTGCTTCCCAACACAAAAAAATATTGAAAGAACAAGAGTGTTCTTTTGGGGAAGTTAAAAAAAAAACACTTAAAATGCAGGTGTTCTCACTCTGTCTCTCAACCACCCATGTGTCATATTACCATGGAAATTGGCCAGACTAGGGAGATGAAATGTTTTTATCTTGCTTCTCAGAGAGAGATGGAGGGGGAAGTGGTTTTAGTCAGAGCTATTGCTCGCTCAATGGTCTCTGGGGGGAAATTAATTAGCAACAGCCAAGGAAGTGTGGGAGCTCAACTGTTATAAACCAATATTATGAAAAAAATAAAATGAGGAGTGTGTGGAAGAATGACTCTGTGGCTGAGGCAGCAGAGTATTCACTAGAAGAAATTCATTTTAAGGACTTTTTATTATTTATACATATTGATATTTTCCTTCCTTTTTATATATCTTCACTCTCCTCTTTCAGTGATGTACATCACAAGTACCTAAAAATGATTTTTAAAGGTCTGTTTGGACTAGATTCATAAACTTGTACAGTTTTCTACATTTATCAGTTGCTGGTTTTCTTTTCTACTTTTTATACATACAATAAAGCTAAACAACCCAGCATAACAATACATGATAGAGAGAAAATAGAAAAAGCAACAGATCAAAAGGCTTGGGAAAATTAAAAGATTTCCATCTGGGACTGAAAGGATATCAGGGTGGGACACAACTCATCCTTTCTAAATAGGGAATTTCTTGAACTGCCAGCATAGACACACACCAGACTTTAGAAAAGGTACTTTTCCACTACATGTCCCATTATCTTTAGACTAGGAATTCTGGGAATGGTCATTCAAAAAATAACTTTCAAAAAATAACTTTCCTGGCAATGCCATCCATTATATTTCTCCAAAGCGGAGTCTGCAGAAAATGACCTTTAAAGAAAAAAAGTAAACAGATCGGCACAATCTTAAGGCAATCCTTAAAGTACCTTCATACCAAGCTGTGAAGCACTTTAAAGGTCCCAAGTCAGTTTTCAGTAATATAAGTAACCTGATGACAAAGGTTGGAAAGTGGAAGGAGGATGTGGAAAATGTGCTATTTTAAAAGCAACTGAGAAAAGAGACTGGGGGCGGCTCACAAAAAACACCCAGTAGTGCTGCAACATACACAATACAACAAACAAAGTAAATTTACAAGATATTATGGTGCATAAAGCAACATACATTTCCAAAAAAGAGCATCCTATTATAAACCCTACCAATTTAAACCCTACCAATTGTGATTATCCCTTCCAAATCAGGGCAGGTGGAGGTTATGAGTATGTAAAAGCTTGTTTATTTCTTGGATGGGAAATATCCAAAAAAATACCAGGGATCCACAGAAAATCTGCCTGTAAGTAACCCTAGGAAGCCATTTGTTGTCTAAGTTGACAGAACTGGTCTGGATGGATCAAATGTCTTACTTGTTATAAGATAGCTGTTTTTCTTACAAAATGTTTCATCCTGATAGAGAGAAACTCTAACTTTATCTTCCAGTATGCTCTTTCTTCCTTTTGCCCAAGACCCTGTTACTCAAACAATATTTCAGCACAGGTCCATTATGGTTGTATAGTTTTCTTCCAGAGATACTGCATGAGGAAGAAGAAGCCTATTTACTGCCAATTGGTGAGGCTACCAAAGTCCACTCTGTTTAAAGTTTTCCCTCACTGACATTGCAAATACCTTAATGTATGTGATATATGGCTACATCTCAATCCATTTTCAGTTCACATATCATTTTATTTCCATTCAAGGAGACCATATTTGCACATTATAGCACACATAACAATATGCTACTTCCTAGACTGAGTAAAATAAGCCTCCAGCTGAATCTTTTCTGTTGAGAAAAATGCCCATCCAATAGCAAACAACAACAACAAAAAGATTTGTCTTTAAGATGTTGTTCTTTAGGGTATGGCACATTTCAAAAACTTTCTCTCCCAAAGCCCTTAAAACCCCCAAATATTTTTAATGAGCAATATTTTTAATTGGTACATTTTATCTTTCCTTTTATTCTCTTCTAACAATTCCAAAGAGGATCCCTTTTCTGTGAAACTAATCACTGCAAGGATTATTTTGAAAACCTGCCAGGTGGAATCTGATAATGATTTCTTACTATTTTGACTTTATGTAGATACAAAATTACAAGTAGGCTTGCATTTGCACAGATTATGTGTCTCGTTTCCATTGCTGTGATCTGTTTTGCATTTCCAAGATTACTACTTGTCCCTTTGTGCCTCCGATATACTAAAAAATGCTGTGACTCTCTTCTCACTGTTTTCTTCAGTTTCAAGCTTTCCCTTCATGTGCATCTAAAACTTACTGGTTTACATATCTTCAAAAAACATTCAAGATATGCCAGATATCATCTGTACATTTTATAGGATCTTGGTTCCACAATTAATCATGAAATTATAGAGCGGGGCTTCTTAAAATTTTCCACTCATAACCCCTTTCTGCCTGAGAAATTTTGACATGACCCCAGCTATATAGGGATATAAAATAGGTATAAAAATCAAAAATTTTACTGATAATAAATCAGAATTTAGAACGCTTGCTAAACAGGATGATTTTCCTCTTTGTGGAATACAACTGAAGCACTTTCTGCAGCATCCCTGCATGCTGCGGCCAACAGATTTGTGAAAAGAGTGGTGTTCAAAAACCTTTTATTGTTGCCAAATTTTTGTGACCCCAACACTGAGCTAACGGGAGCCCATTTGGGTTTAGGACTCAAAGTTTAAGAAGCAGTTTTATAAACAAGGTAGTTGCTAGGTCTTTCACAACAGCACAGTATTAGACTCCATGCTGCTTCTCTAAACATGCTTCTCTGGTGGATTTCCCTGCATAGAGAGTATATAATGGTGGCTTTCCCATACCTAGAGCACATTTTTGGCAAAGTCCATTGCCACAGCTGCTGTTCACTCCATTGCATGCCTGTTGCTGCTGACTTGGCAACTGGAAGAGGACAGATGGCACTCCTCTGGCACTTATATTTGTTTTAAGCACCAAACACTAAGTGCAAATCCTTTTAGCTGTGGCACTTTCAGTCTCATTATCTTCACACGGAATCCAATGGGATCTACTTCTTAACAAGTACATGTAATTATATATAAGAGAGGATTCTTGAGCCTACCTTTGTACTGTGGTGTGAATCGTTTCATTGCTGAGGGGAGAGATTCGTAGAACCATTGCTCCTGGGAAACAAGGGGCTTGCAGACGGTGGAGTCATCATACTTCATCATGCTCATGTGGCCTCCAACTTGGTGGATGAAAGGCTCCAGCAGGATCCCTTTCCTAGGATCCCCAAGATCCAGATTATTCTGCACCACCATGGTGCAGTACGTATGGGACTTAAGTCTGTTTCTGTAGTATGCTGAGCTCCAACTGATGAAACAACCCTTTTAAGTCTTTCTAGCTGAGATCCGAAGATGGGCTGAAGGTTTTCATGCTGGTAAATGAGCTCATATCCAAAGTACATGGGCCTTCTGGCTGCTCAGTAATCCTTTGAGAACTTTTCTGCAATCTGAGGATAGATTGAGCAGGTCACAATAAAAGAGCACATTATTTTTCCTCCCACATTTCTGCACAGTCAAGTGCAATTCTTAGAAAAGTCAGAGTGGACATACAATGTCCTGCTGTGACCCCAGATGTCCTAAATGTTGAAAATGGTGTTATGGCAGCCAAGACAATCTACATATTAGCTAGATGAAAAGTGGGCATTTAAGGACACACATTTTGGGGGAACATAAGTACTGGCTGCAATGAGAACCAATTTAATTTGCAAACGTCATGGTGGGCATACAAAAAATAAGGAAAGATAACCAAATAGAAAAGCTATTGAGTTAAGAGCAGCTAGATCAGGTGTTCCTTCTACCTCTGCTAACCTTAAGTTATTAATGAGATGATTCTACATTCTATTCTTATGAGAAGAACCCCAATTTGGAGAAGAACCCCAGTTTTCTTACTAGAGAGCTGCTGTTAATGCCAACAAGCTTTTAAACTTTTCCTCAGGGAACTCCAGACCAGAACGTTCCCTACCAACTAGGTTATTAATAATGCTCTTAGGAAATCCTGCACGGCACATTCCTCAGCTTTTAACACCATGTTGTTAGAAAAAGCAATATTATCCACTCTACATTCATGAAACACATCCTTTTCCCACTGCACATCTTTTCGGAAGAAACCTCACTTCAGGACATTCCAGGTCAGGCAACAACATACTTTTCATGATGTCACAAGTCAAAATGTTTTTTGTGACCTTCTGCAAGTTCAAAAACTTGGTCTGACTTGTGAGTGCATTGGAAAGTGAAAATCCCACTTGTGTCTTGGTCTTGATGGATGTGGAATGTCCCAATCAAAGGTTTCTCCAGGAAACCTGGATTTACATAGGCTCATTTCATGATTAGAAGCAGTGGAGTTTGCACCCCTACAAGCTCTATGACACACAGGTAATTTGTAAATGTGTTCCTAACATGGAACATGAACCATAAGCCACTGTCAAGGACACAGGTGACTGATTGGCAATCCCACATGAGTCCATGCCTTCAAAGATGGGTTCCATTCTAAATGCTGTACAAAAGAAGCTATTGTTTTATCACAGATGCTATTGTGTTTACACTTCAGAGCATCTTGGTTCAGCCCTTGGAATTATAGTTCTACTCTCCTGAACTTCGGTATGAGAGATATGTTACAAAGTATTCTAGAAACCTCACCAAACTATCAATTCTAGGAATTTCAAAAGACAGGGCCATGACAGTTAGAGTGGGATTAAACTGTGTTCATGATGTAGTATTGGTGGAAAGTGGCTGATAGGGATCCCTTACATCTAAAATGATCTAGCTTTTATTGACTTTTGGACTGAACCTCCCACCAGATACACTACCCTATTCATCTCACCCAGGGTTTTAAAACATTTATCCTTTGCAATTGGCCCTGCCCACTCTGTTCAATGTTTTGTTATTTTATGCTAGATCCTGTGTTTATCTTGTATCATTTTTTTCTTTTTGTTATAGTTTGTTATATTTTTATTTGATGTATTATTGTATGTTGTATTCTTTTTGCTTTGTTGTAATTGTTGGGCTTGGCTTCATGTTAGCCTCCCCGAGTTCCCTTGGGGGAGATGGTGATGGGGTATAAATAAAGTATGATGATGATTATGTTGGGCAGGTGGATCTAGTGCTTACTCTACTGTCTTCTCACTCAGATTCCCTGGACATCATTCTTCTAATGTAGCCATGTGGTATCTACTTCTCCTACTCTTAAGCATAAGTAATGTGTGATAGGTGACCTTTGAATCTCTATAAGTTTTTGAATTGCAGTTCCATAATCTTTTAGCAATAGCCATGCTGGGAATTGGTCTGGCAAGCCAAAGGCCTCAATTTCTGGTAAAACAGGGTTGCTGTGACCAGTTCATAAAGCATTCTTGCACTATAGAAATCGATAACATATCAATTTAATACTTAACTTGCTTCCTTTTTACAACCCCAGAACATATTTTCCCCATAAATGTAAATATATATGTTCAAATCAGAGCTTGGGAAGACTACTGTTTGGATTACATCTCCCAGTATCCCCTGAGCCATGGGAGTTGCAAGAATTATTGACCAGAGAAAAACCTTTCTAAATTCTAGTTCAGATTCATCAGATTATATGAAGTGCTCATTTCTTAATTTGGGGGTAAACTTCTTCTAAATAGTAGAAAAGATATTAACTTTAGCCAGTAGAGGGCAAGAATGTATGCAACTGATTCTGTGGTACAGCTAAGATCATTTTTGTTGAAAATCTTGGTGAAGACAATGCTTTTAAAAATATACAATATGTGTGTGTGTATCTGAATGCAATTGAATACATCCCACTGAATACTGTGGGGCCCATTTCTGAATAAACATTATGAGAATGCCACCAGTTCGGGCACACAGAGTGCAAGAAAGCTCTTGCTGAACTCCAGATAGGCTATTTTCAAGCAAAGGTGCCATTCAAAAACTAAACTTCTTAGATTTAGGTTCCCATATAAGATGCAAACAAACATGGGGCTCCTCCTCCTAATGGGGTAGAAGAGGGAACTTTGATAAGGGAAGCTTCCCCTTTTTTGGCTCTCCGATAGAAAAGGTGCTGAAACCTTGTCCTCGTTTGCACCCTAGTCCTGAATTTGAGAAAGTCCTTGCTGTTGATTACTGCCATACATTACAGACATACAGACTTTGCTATATATAATTGCATATGCCAACATTCCCTCAATATTAAATGACCTGTTCTTTTAATATTTCCCTTCATATTAAACAATCAGTGGTTGAAATAGCACGATGGCTTAAATATTTATCCTTCTAATTCACACACAGCCCCTGTGGATGCCAAAGGGTCCATATTAGGGGTAGACAACTATATTGGGCTTTGGGCCTGATTTCACCTTATACCTCTTCCTAACACAGTGTGATGGATGTAGTAGTGGAATGGTGCATTCACTGCAGATTTTATTGTGCTCTTTAAAGAAGATGTCCTGTTGCAGGGATCAGGGCACTATGGATAGCTACTTTTTCAAATCTAGATTAAGGGCCCTTCCACACATCCATATAACCCAGAATATCAAGCAGAAAATCCCACAATATCTGCTTTGAACTGGGTTATCTGAGTCCACACTGCCATATATTCCAGTTCCAATCAGATAATTTGGGATCTTATTTAGCTATGTGGAAGAGGCCTAAATCTTGGCATGGATTTATCATCTGACTGATAAAGAAGCCGTCAAGCACTATTGTGTACATATTACAAGTCAATGCCAGCAGTGATTAGAAGCCTAGTTTGGGGAAATTCTCCCTCCCTCCACTCTTTTCTTCTTCTTCTTCTTCTTCTTCTTCTTCTTCTTCTTCTTCTTCTTCTTCTTCTTCTTCTTCTTCTTCTTCTTCTTCTTCTTCTTCTTCTTCTTCTTCTTCTTCCCTTCTCGTTCTGTATCACCACTTCCTTTTAAGACCTGCTTCAGTGAGTTAAATGAATGAATTGGTGATGGCTCTCTTCTCTCCTGCAATATTACAGCCCATTGAATATTTTAATCTTTGAGTGAGTCTACATTGCATAGTTATAGCACTTTGATACCTCCTCAAATGCTGCAACTCTCTAGTACAGAATCACATGATCTATAGTTTCAGAGGGACTTGAAATTCCCTTCAAAAGGACTGTAATGCTAGTTCTGGAGAGTAAAGAAGTAAGTTCTGGGCCTATTTGAATTAAAGAAGTTGTGAACTGCTGCAATCCTGTAGTGCAATAATACCCCTAGTCCAGGGGTCCTCAAACTATGGCCTGAGGGCTGAATATGGCCCTCCAAGGTCATTTACCCAGCCCTCGCTCAGGGTCAACCTAAGTCGGAAATGACTTGAAAGCACACAGTAACAACAACAATCCTATCTCATCAGCCAAAAGCAGGCTCACACTTCCCATTGAAGTACTAATAAGTTTATATTTGTTACAATTGTTCTTCATTTTAATTATTGTATTGTTTTTAAGTGTCTTTTGCACTACAAATAAGATATGTGCAGTGTGCATAGGAATTCATTCATTTTTTTCCAAATTATAATCCAACCCTCCAACAGTTTGAGGGACTGACCTGGCCCTCTCTTTAAAACGTTTGAGGACCCCTGCCCTAGGCAATGCATGAAATGCAATACTGGCATGTACAGCAATGAAAGTCTAATCAGAACAATTGGAAACAAAGGGAGATGGAAGCTTCCATTGTGCACTTTAGAAATCCTGAAAGGTCAAATTTCTAATAAATACTCCGGTTGGAGGCAAATTATCTCATAATCTAGATCAGGCATGGGCAAACTTCAGCCCTCCAAATCCATGAAATAGTTAACTGGTTGAGCTCTGCTTTTCTCTTTGGGCAATTTGGTTCCCCATTACAGCTGCAGTGTTATACACAAACACAATTCTCCCTGTGAGGTTATATTCAACATTGCCTGTTGGCCTGATCAAAAACTACTTAGCAGATATTGGGGAAGATTTGCTTGACTCTATTCATCTCTTTAGATATTTCCATATGGACATTATGTGCGCAACGGCTGGGCGGTTGCATTAGTCCTCTGTGTATTTCTAAGCCAGCCGTTCCTCCTCTTTTCTCATCTGAAAGAATAACTGTCCTGGGTGACAGAGAGCTGCAAATGAAAAGCTTCATTCTCTGCGAAGAGCCAAGCACCAACACCGATGCCATAAATCCTTGTGTGCACAAACCCTGAGCCCTTTTAATCTTGTATTTCCTTTCCTGAAAGAATATGATGTTCATAAAGTTTATGGCTGGTCCCAGCATCCCTCATGTACAAGAGGCAAAGATACCATTTGTTTTGCTGAAGGATTTATACAGTTGCTTTGCAAAGCTGGAGGATTGCAGACACGAAGGAGGGGAGCTGCGTTAGCCAGGATTGATAGGCTGCTAAAATGCTGTATCTCTTGTCTGTGATTGCTTAGGCATTTGGGATAATGGGACTGTTGGTATTGCACTGCTGGGTGTTTTGTATACATTGAGTTAATATTCTGTGGCTGTCCTACTGCCATTTATTTTTTAAAAAGTGTAAAGCATACCTTCATCCAAAACTGGATTCCTGGGCAGTATATATATAAAATTTAAATATTCAATACAACAATAAAATAGCATAAAACTTTTGTCCTATGATATATTTGTCTAAGTGGCTATATCTTGAGGATGTAACTATAAACTTTTTCTGCATCACATTTGGTACTTGGCAGATTTAACTAATTTTATACAAATTAATTAACTAATTTTATACAAATTAAGACAGCCTCTGGCTTTCAATTTTCTCATTTCAGTGCGCAATTGGGCCAATTCTGCACTCACTGTTTGCTAATCTAGGTAAAGTCTCTTCTCCCCATTGGCTAATTTGGAGAAAGAAAGAAGATGCGGCAATAATGCATCTCTTCTTGAAATATGAACATGCTCATTCTCCTTGTTCACTCCTTAAAGAGTGAACACATGGGATAGAATGAACTGAAAGGTCTCACATACTGGAGGCCGTCTTTCAGTTAGAAGCCTTTCTCCTATCCCACTGGTAACCAGTTTGCATAATGACCAAGATGACACATGAGACAGAAATGACGTTCTGGGAACTTTGTGCCGCATATTAGAATTCTGAAAGAGTAATCCAAGATGTATTCCTTTACACTTTGTCATTTCTGTCTGTCCTGAACATGTTTTCCCCTTGAGCAGGTCCTAATTATTTTGATAAGAGTAAACTTCAAGAAAGTATGCTAACACTTGCACCCTTGTTTTTATCACGTAATTACACTCTGGGTATGAAAATTCCATTCTTTCAAGAAAACATAGGGGTCCGATGGATGTTGTGTAGGCAAAAATAGGAAGGTACCTTCTCTGGTAATTCCAGCTCAGGCAGAGTCCCTGTCTGAAATATTCTGGTATGAACAGCGGCTTCTTGGCAGTTACTTCAGATTTATATTAGGCAAGCAAAGATCAGCTTGTCCTGCTATATCACTAAACATACTTCACCTCAAAGGCAGTGACTATTTCCCTGTATTTACCAGATGCCACTTAAAGCAGATTGGATAGACAAGCATCTCAGGAGATAGAAGTGTGTTTGTTTTGATGGAATAAACAGCTCACTGACCATATAACAGCAAATACTCCTTCTCCATCTTCACAACAGTGTAGAGGATATGATCAAAGTTGTAAACCTCATTTCAAAATTTGAGGAAACAATGGGCTCAGTATTTCCCCAAGGCTTGCCATGTGATCAACCTAAGTGTTTAGTAGCCCCTGAAAAGCTAAGCTGGGCATCATCATTATGTATCAACCTTTTGTACTTGAATGCATATTTATAAAAGTCAAGAACAAATCTTCCAGAGTTCTGATCTACCACAGAAGGCCAGAAAATGTTTGTCCAGATTTTCTCTACTTGGTTGCAAGGTACAGATATGGCAGAAGAACTTATACATGGGTGTGGGAATCAGGACAGAAATGTCTACAACGCCCTAGACACCGCTAACATAAACAATGCAATATGAATTTTTAGCACAAATAAGCTACATTTAACCTGATCAATTCTATTGTTTATCCCTCTTCATGCATTTTCGCCTGATTGCCCAAGTTCGTCCTTTCCTGACCCAAAGGAAGGAGAAACACACCAACTCCCAACACAAGCAAGAATTTCCATCTCGACTACAGAACAAAATAAAACCTTGCTAAATGTACAACTGAACTCTCAAAGTGATTACTCACCCAGTTGTTCCTTTATTTACAGTAGGAGTTTATATTGTGTCCATCGGTTTGGTGAGTATCCCAAATTCAGTAGGGAGGCTATTCTGCTTGCTTTGCTTGTACAACTCAGTCTTGCTATGAAGTCTGGTCTCAGTGTGTGAGTTGGAGGGTGTGAGCAGAAAAGAAAATGGAACATGAGTTGTCACCTGACCTTCTTAGATATTCTTGGCAGGCATCTGTGATATGCCGCCAACAACTGACGCAACTGGGCCATGGAGGGTTAAATGGAGACAGGCAGAAGGAAGAAAAACACTCATGACAGCCAGGGAAACAAGGCTGTGACAACGTGGTCTGCTTTAAACATGTTGCTGTTCCTATATAATTGTTTATAATTGTGAAGAGTAGAGACATCACACTGGCAATGAAGATCTGCATAATTAAGGCAATGGTATTCTCCGTAGTAACTTATGGATGTGAGAGCTGGACCATAAGGAAGGCTGAGCGAAGGAAGATAGATGCTTTTGAACTGTGGTGCTGGAGGAAAGTTCTGAGAGTGCCTTGGACCGCCAGAAGATCCAACCAGTCCATACTTCAGGAAATAAAGCCTGACTGCTCACTGGAGGGAAGGATATTAGAGCCAAAGATGAAGTACTTTGGCCACATAATGAGAAGACAGTGATGCTGTGGAAAATGGAAGGAAAAAGGAAGAGGGGCTGACCAAGGGCAAGATAGATGGATGGTATTCTTGAAGAGACTAGCTTGACCTTGAAGGAGCTGGGAGTGTTGACGGCTGACAGGGAGCTCTGGCGTGGGCTGGTCCATGAGGTCACAAATAGTAGGAAGCGACTGAACAAATAAACGACAAAATATAATTGTTTCTAGATAATCAATGAAGGTTGTATGTCAATTGCCACATGTATATTTCAGAGCATAGGTGCTGCATTTGATACATTTTCTCAGAGTAAAGGTCGTGTGCATGCCAGTTACCTAGACATGCATACCATTATTGCACATAATGACCTATAGTTCTGGATTCCTTCCATTTCGACAAACTCCATATTTTTTTCTTACATGGGAAAATATGCCTTTAGGGGAGGATCTTTCTTTTGATGCATTCTTGAGTTGGTAAATGTCACAGGCAGATAATAAGTGCTGGAATTTATTACTATCCTCTCCGGTGGATAGCTGGATCAGCTTCATTTAAAAGGCAAGAGTGGACAGAAGGTTTTACGGCTGGCAACTCCCAGAGCGCTCCATCCTTTCCTCCCACAATCATCATTGGAAGACAGCGTCATTGTCTTGGTTTTTCTTTTTTTCTTTCTTTCTTAAAAATTAATCTTCTTTTCATTGGCTTCTCTCCCACTTCTTGAAAACCTCTCTGCTCCATAGGCAGTTCTTTTGGCATTTGCTGATTTTGATGAAACCGGGGTGAGAGAGCAGAAGCTCCTATTGTTTCACTTATAACTCACTTTGAAATCTAGCAGCTGTTTGGGGACAGGCAGATTCACAGACATCTGGTTTGAATTCTGTTTCTTCTGTTAAACTGTATTATTAGTGGTACAAGTTTGGATGAATGCTGTAGTTTTGTGTTGGAGTGAGTGGAGGCTCCTATAAACTATGCACAATACCCAAATCTGTAGAGATCCTTTCTATTTCACCCAAACCAAAACTCAATACAAAGTGTGGAGCTGGAAAGTGGAATGGATGAACTAATCCATTTTGGACTTTTCCCACAAGCTCACCGAGAGTTCTTCCTCCTCCTGCATTCCCCATCCCTATACTTTCATGGCCCCAGAAATTTTAGCCTTCCATTAATGAGCATTTCAAGCATAACAGTTTTATCTCCCCCTTTGTAAATTCAAGGTCACAAACCTAGAGCAGATCTCATGGCTACACTGTCGGATTTCTTTATCTTATGGCCAACACAACTGTCTTTGCTTTAATGAAACCTGTGTGCTTTATGCAAGGCAGGGGGCAGATCTATGACTTGCAGGTAGCCCTTGTGTCTTCGGAAATGTAAATCAGCAGTTCTTGCTTGATCTTTGTATTCACTGCCAGGTGTTAAATGATACCTGCCAGTGATTCACTCAGTCTGCAAGTTCTGTCTTCAGACCAAGTTTGACTGTAAACTTTAAGGCCACAAGATCTAGCATGAACTTTGGACTTCTTCTTCTGCCCTCGGTTTTGTATCACCCAGTCTGTTGAAAAGTTCTGGAAAACCTGGAAGTTTGCACAACATGTGTGTTGTTTTTGGTTTGTCTGAATAAAAGCTTTGCCTAACTGCGGATACAGTTTTCTTTTAATCCTTCATGACTCAGCACAGCCATCCTTGGGAGCAATTGTGATGGTGGTAATGATTTCTTTTGGAAATAGGGTGGGTAGATTGATGTAGAGGGTATTCATAATGCTCATCACATGATGTTGTGCCAGGTTACACCATCTGAACATCACTTCAGCTGTACTTGCAATGATCGGTGATTGTTAATGCTACACAAATCCCTTGACATTTTAATATCTTTCTCTTGTGAAAAACAAAACAGTTTACCATGCTAGTCAGTTGTTTCAGATAGTTCAGTTCAAAAATCTTTATTTGTACCCATTACACTATAATAACACTATTATGGCATTATGGCAAGTACATTTATTTATTTTTAGTAATGCACACCCTTTTGTCCAAATCCTTTTATCTCAGAAAGACAAACATATGCTTCCTCTAGTTTTAGCTCATGTAGTCCATGTAGTTTGATAGGAAGACTAAATCCCCTTCCTATTCCAGGATTCCATAGGATGTTGCCATGGCAGTTAAAGTGGAATCATAATGCCATAACTGTGAAGTGTAAAGGGGTCCAATGAGTGTAGTACTGTTTCTCCCAATCCACACACTCAAGATATGTGGGATAGTCAGTGTCCCTGCCTTGGGACATTGGTAGTCACAGTTAAGCATGTCCAAAGAGCAGCAGCTAAGCCATAGAAAGCTGATCTAATATATATCTATGAAAGTGAGATGTTAACTGTAAAGTGAGCTGTACATTTAGGGAGTAGCATCCAATGCTTCCAGCCATTCAGAATTCATATGCAATGCACAAAATGTCCTTGGATGTCATGCCAGGTGTGGTAGAGAAGGGATGTATCAGAGATTCTGTTTGAAATCAGTCCTCCTGGTTCTAGAAACAGCGAGGCAATGGCAGATTCACATCTTGTGGTGGTACTAGGATCTGCTCATAGAAAAGTCAGAGCAAAGGAGATTCCTGAATGGCAATGGGTCAGAGCAGGTCACGTGGAATTGCCTGAGGTACTTCCAAATGTTTGTAGGTTGGTCTGACCCTTCCAGATACATCCCTTCTCAACAACTCAAGCAGCTGGATATAAGTCCAGAACATAGTATACTGTGTGTTCCACATAGATGCCGCATAGCTGGAAATAGTGGATGCTGGCAATCAAACTTGTGGCACTGAATTGATCTCTTTCACAGATGTGCCCGACAGTGACTTGCTTTACCTTTAACATAGCCTTGGAAAATATCCCCTTCAGCAGTTCAAGGCCAAAATTAAGACTAGAGCATGACTGAAAGAGATTTTCAGAATCCTTTCCATGAGTATTACTTTTTCATGGTTACATCCTGTCAAACTACCAGGCAACACAAGCCAATTGAGTTTGGGTTTATTCAACTGGAACATCATTAATAAAATCTCTAGCTTTGATAACTGAAAAGGTTTCCTTTTGCTTTGCCAGTCTATCCTAATAGGAAACCAGTGTGTTTTCTTCAAGACTCTTGGGTAACTTCTACATTTAATGTTTTCACAATGGGACCAGATCTTGTAGTGTGAGGTCAGATGGGTACCCTGGAAATCGGACATAAATATGGGTACTGAGGGGAAAGCAAAGTGGGATCAGTGGAGAGGAAAGAGAAGCACAGTTTATACCTGAGGTGACCGAAAAAAGTGCAGATGGGGGAGTATTAAACTCTGCAACAAGCCACAACAAAGCAGAGCAAAAATCTCAGATTATTTAGGGCATGATTGGATGCAGGGGCATAAATAACAATTCCAAAAATGAAGCCACAAAATAGAAAGCTCCAGTTTATCAGAACTATTGTGCATTCTACATGAGCCCTAAGTAACCTTGAGTAAAACAAAACAATCTGACACTAAAAGAGTCTCTAACCCATACACTTCAAACATTAAAAAAACAAGTTTTACAAAATTAAACAAAGCATGTTTTTAGTCCAATGTTTTGCTCACAATGATAGCCAAAAATATTGAGTCAGCAAAATCTTAATTTAATGGAGGGAGGATTTTGGTACTGCAGTCAAGCATCTGTTAAATCCAACACAGGGTTCTGCCTGAGGGGTAAAGAAGCACTGACGAACCAGTGAACAATCTGCTACAATTGAATTTAGTCTCCTCAGATTCTGGAAAGCATAGGATGGAAGCAGCCATTCCTGTTTGATGGAGAACAGAATGGTGCGGTATGTGCTACACAGTCTTCTCTGTCCCCACACCTCCAGATTAGGTGGTTGCTCTAAGAATCAAGCCAGATAGTAAAAATAATGCTTACTATCTGCAGTCAACATGTTTTCCTTCCAGCTGCAGAATTTCCTCAGACATGTATGCCTGAGAAATCAGACTTGCATGTTTATCTTCCAGTGAGCAATCACAAACAAGGCATAGCTAAATACAAGTTACTGAGATGAGGAGAAGAATGTGCTGCGACAAATGCACACATCTTTCAATACTTGAGGGAGCAAGTGCTTCAAATATGTGCGAATTATATCATCCACCTTGATCTTAAGATGGTGTGGGGGAATTCTTTCCTAGACCTGATGCTGGCAGAAAAATGTTGTGGAACTTACTGGTTGTCACACTGTTTTCTACTACATTTCTACTGTGCTATACTATGCAGATTTCTGTTATTTTCAGAAATGGATCAGGATCTTATGATGTCTTCCGCTGGATCCTGTTGTTTCCCACCAAACTGGTGATTCCTGTTGTTTTGAAGACCTTCATTACATCATAAAATCTGATCGTAGTGGCTGGGAACCCATTGCAGTATTTGTTTTTTTGTCACTGAAGCAGGCGGTTGTGGAGAAGAAATTCCAGAGCCCACTGTTGCTGGATATCACATACACTGCTGATCCTTCAT